TGCTGTCTTTATTTAACTTTTTGTAAAGCCTTAAACTAGTTTCCTCTAATGTTAGAAGATGATTCTAATGATTTATCTTTCAAACAGGGAAGAAAAATTTTCCTCTGAAGTTTCCCCTCCAGTGTTTCCTGCTGAGCACTATGTCCTATGGTATGGAATATCCCTTTGGTTAGTTGGGCTCAAATGTCCTTGCTCTGTTCCCTCCAGCTTCTTATGCACACCACTCTACTGACTGGTGGAACTGTGTGAGAAATGGAAAAACCGCTCAGCAATAGCTAAATCAATGACATTATCAACACTGTTTTGCTCACAAGTACAAATCACTGAACTACAGGTGCTATGAAGATAGTTAATTTTATCCTAGGAAATACCAGCACACTCCTAAAATTGTAGAAGATATTTAGAAAATTGTACTGAATAAAATACCAGATACACTTTTTTCAGATCTTTTAATTTTTCCACTGAGTCATCTTTTCTATTACATTTAAAAAAAAAAAAAAAAAAAAAAAAAAAAGCACAATAAATGTATATATCTAAATATATTTATTTATTTTTTTATTTATTTATATATATGTATATATAAATTTGTGTAGAACCCTGTGTGAGGAAGTGTTAGACACACCTTATTGAATGTGAAAGTGATTATGCGTGTTATTGAAACTGCTATGACTAGTATAATTTTAAACTAGATTTCCATGTTTCCAATGCAATTAGAATTATTTTGTCTCTTAAATCAGAAAAATTCTTTGACAGGTTAATCTCAAAACATTACTATTAAACATCAGGAAAATCTTGACTGCAGATTCAAAACTTCAACATAGGAAACTTCATTTATATTAAATCATAAACTAGAAGTTATTAGGAAACAACTTCTGCATTATCTCCAAAAGAGTACCTCAGATGCATCCATTCACAATAGCACATGATACTTACATTTCAGTTAAAACATTGAAATATACTGCTTATATTGTCTTTTGTAGATAATTCAAGAACTAAGTCAAACCTGCAGTGAAATTTCCTATTAGAATTATCAATACAGACCCAGTCATGTGCATATAATATCAAAAATATTAACTATTTGTTCTTTCTGTAAACTGATGCAAGCCACTGCTTTAAACACTTCTACACACAAGCAAATATGCCAGCAGTCCAATATTTCCAGTGAATATAGAAACTGATTTTGGCAATATAAAATGTTAGTTTTACTTTAATGCTCATTCAGACTGGCTGAAGGATTTGGAGTTCATTTCACAGAGAACTGGAAAAGACATTAGAGAACAGTAACTTACATGGACTGGATTCAAATGAACAATATAATGCCTTTTATCCCACTCAGCCCCAGCAAGCTCTTCAAGTAATAATATTTGGTTTCACTGATAACTCTGAAATAAGCAATTTTGATTAAGACAGAAATGTGGCAGGAAAGTGCCTAAAATTCTATTAAGTTTCTACTTTCATTTAGTAGCACGTGAATTGGAATGATGAACAAAATCATTTCATCAAAAACTTAAGACAGAATTCTGTAATGCTTTAATGCTTTGAATAATAACATAAAGATTTGCAGCATACTGTGATACATTGTCTTTATGTAAATCTGGCATATAACTCAAACATGATTTATGTTTTCAAATATTTACTTGGATTATTGTGGAGGTATGATATACAAACTACAGAAACCATAAATCAGGCTATTTGGTTCTGAACTGATACTGGCTCATTCATTTGACTGCAATTTAAATGTGTTTCCATTAAACCAAAAATTTGCCATTAGCATTAAGCATAAGTCAAAAGGTTGATATTCCAACTTCACTTACATTGTATTCCGTGAATGTTCAATCTGTAAGCTATTAAGCTGAGATGTATCAATCAGAGTTAAAAATCATGAACACTCCAGCTCCTGGCTGGATGCCATTTGATTGCAATCAGGAATCATAATGATCATCTAACCAACAGTGCTGGAAATAAAATATACATCTATAAGTGAAATCTCAAAAAATTCCAAGTATAATTCTGTTCTTCTTCATTCTGATGGTTTTGGTTTGCAGTTTGGTTGTTTTACAACTTATGAAATGATACTTTAAGTGAAAGAGAAATCATGCCCATAAATACATATCCTTTATCAATGTTGAAATACAAAAAAAGTACATCATTTAATAAATTCGTTTTGACATATATAGTATGATATAGAATACAATGACATGTTTAGAGATCATTTTAATAAGAATTGAATTTTTAGAAATAGTTTAACTATAAATAATAAAAATTTCTGGGCCTTAAGGCATTCTATGTCTAATTGAAACATAAGTATTTGGTGAATTCTTCTTCCTTGTTTCTTAGGTTCTGGTTTCATTTAATTTTATTCAAGTTATATTTATTCAAGTTAATGCATATATTTATTCAAGTATATAGATAGATAGTTAGATAATATACATTATATATAATATATATAAAAATTTATATGTATTTATTCAAGTCATTTTTTTCAATTAATAAGTAATAAAATGCATTTGACATGCTTTAAAATAAGTTTATAAAAATTCTGATGAATTCTATGCTTTCTGAAGGCATAGAAATAGCAACTAAAATGTTTAAATAAAAAATATTTTTAGTATACAGGCATCACGATGTTAATTTTGTTCCCTATTTTGTCTTTTTGACTTTGATGTGCAGATTTTTTGTTATTTTAAAGACTTGTTACATAAAAAGGATATTTTTACATCACAGCTGCTTCTCTCATCTATAATGACACTTTCCTAATCTGAATAAGATTTCTGTATTCTTATTATCAGGAAAATGAATTCTTATAATAAAATACTGTGTTAATATCAATCTTCCTTTAAAAAAGGTTAGCAAAATTATCATTTCATGGATATTTTAATTCATGTATTATCATGGAATAATAGAAGCTACTCAGACATGACACCATTTTTTATTTCTGTAACAAATGCATTTCAGAAGGAAAAGGGAATCTGTAAAATAGAAACTGTTTAGTCCAAGGTGGTAGTGCTTTTATCTCTGTAGCATTTGTACCTTATGATGGATTCATATAGGTTTCATTTAAAACCGTTACCCATTGTCTTATCAATGCACACTCTATTAATGATTTTCTTCCCATTGTTCTTGTAGGTTTTTTTTTTTTTTTTTTTTTTTTTTTTTTTTTTTTTTTTTTTTTTTTTTTGTATTTTGTATTTGTTTGTATTATAAGACCACAAAAAGGTGTGCTAGGAGCCTTATCTTCTTGAATTTAAAATATTTGAACTCTCTCAAGCCTCTCTTCATAGAATAGGTGCTCTGGTCACCTGATCATTTTTGTGACAGAATCGTATAATATCCTGATTTAGAAGGGAGCCACAGGGATCATTGAATCCAACTCCTGGCTTTACACAGGGTCACTCAAAAATCAGACCCTATGTCTGATAGTGTTGCTTCCTGAACTCCAGAATGCATGATGCTGAGGTGGCTACTCCAAAGCCCAACCATCCTCTCAGGGAAAAACATTTCCCTAATGTCCAAGTTGACCGTCTTCTGATGTCCCAATTTGTATATGTATCTAGGGTTGTCCCAACCCAGATGCATTTACATTTGTTAAATTCCATGTGGTTTGTGGGTCCATGTCTCTCTTCTGTTAGGTGCCCCCCAATCTGGATGTATATAATGATGAAGATGTAAAAAACACAACTTTTTTCAAGTCTAGTAGATAAATTTTCTGTTTTAACCAAACTTGTAAAGAAAAATAGTTCTGATGAGCAAGAAGTCACACATGGTTTTAATTCACTGTAACATCAACTTTCCATCACATGAATTACTACATTTCCAAGTGAACAAAAGCTTTTTAAAACAGCATTGACAATGATGCCTAATTATGAATATTTTAGAAACTTACTTAAAGCTTTTGCTAAGATTGTTTTACTATGTCTTTTTCTAAAAACTACACTACATCTCTGTTTTATCTAGCTACCATGAACAATGGTCCTTGACAGACACTGTAAAAAAAGCAGAGGGAATTAACTTATTAAACTTTCCATTGTTTTTGTTAAACAGGCTGCTATAAAATAAATGCCCTCCATGACTCTTATCATCCAGGCATATTGCGTAATAAAATTCCCTGAACTGTATCTCCTGCAAGTGATGTAGCAAAGAAACAAATGTACAACAGTAAAAGTAAAAGATTATGATTGAAGGCAAAGAATTGAAAAAAATGTTGCTCTAGCTTATGCTATACAATCATGGACATATAAAATAAACATGCTCTTTTTTGTGAGTGTATGATTTTGTTTTGCAAGATTTTGAATAAGTCAATGAATTTTCAGTGCACTAGACCATTGAAAAGTTAATCTTTAGGATTTTTCTTTTATATTTAAATCTTTAATCAATTTATCAAAAGCCATGGAATTTGAAAAATGTATAAATCTGCACATTAAATTTGAAACTTTCTTAAGTGTTTTTTAAATGCATACTCTAGGTTTTATGTGGGAGCAGTTTTCAGTCTTTCACAAATTACTGACAACACACAATTGCAATTGTTGAAACACCTGAAAGACTTTTTTTTCTTTTTTTTTTTTCTACTAGGAAAACAATATTCAGCATTTATTTAAAGTGAATATCACCTCAAAGAAACAACCTGTAATCTTTTGATGGCTCCATTTGAATATAAGGGAGAAAATTATTTACTATGAGTGTAAGGATATGTAGAAGGAGAGTTCCTGCTTATGTAGGAGTATCTGGTCAAGGACCTTTTCCAGTGCAACTACAATTAATGAGAAAGGTAGGAAGTAATGGGAACTAAGTATGGACAGTCACATTAATCAGTGAGGGCATGTGAGAAGCTAGGAATGCTTATTCTGGCAGAATTACCTGATTGAAGACTTCTGAGTTGTAAGACAACACCCAGGAAATCTGGTCAGCTGTACTAATCGATAAAGAAAGGGGCAGAACGTGGGAATGTTTATTTAAGCAGGGTTATCTGAGTGAGAATCTCTGATCAAGGTGGTAAGAAGCAGAAAGGGGGGTGATAAATAAAAAATTGCTGCAATACAGTCCTGACCAAGTAGAAATTTAGACAGTGATAAGAAACAAACCCACCAGTCATACTAGCGGATTTAGGTAGCTAGCTAGCAACAGGCCCACTGCCAGGAAGATCAGTTTGGACTTTGGATCTGGTAAGTCTCTGAAGGGGTGGGGAAAAGGTTTGGATTCGGGGTGTAGAAAATCTAAAGCTCTTTAAGGTTTGAAGGGTTGAACAGGAGAAAAGGGGAGCAGGAAGAAGAACAAAAAGGGGAGATAGGTAGAAAAGTGTATAAAACTTCTGGTCATGAGTAAAACTGAGTCAGTCAGTAAACCTGTTTGTCTGAGCCTTTTGCCTGGTCACTGAAATCTGCTGCATCTTCTTATTTGTCTCATTACATATTTTCTTAATTCTCTGTCTCCATATTTGTACTCCCAATTGTCTGTGTTTGTACAGGAAGGGCTACATGACAACTCCTGGTAAGACCTGTTTGTGTTTGGGTGAAGACTGGTGGCAGCAGTCAGGCTGAGAAGGCACCACAACCTGTGATGTCAGCTACTGGAGTGAGCATGTGGTCTAAGCATCGCATGCTGGTGGGATCTGTGTGTGTGTGAGTGGAACTGGTACTATCTACCAAAGCTGTTAGCTGTCTGTATCTATTTTGATGTTTAATACAAATCCTGATGAAGACAGCTCCTGGCTGGGGAAACCGGTGTTATCATTCATATCATAATCACGTTCTTGCCTGTGTGTGTCTTTGTATCTCTGGGTTACTTGCTCAACTTTGCTACTGCTTGGTCCTGCAGAGGGGAAATCAGTAGTCACATGTTCACCAGACTGAACTGAGACCTTAGGTTTCTGGGCACCAGCATGGGCCCCAGCAGCTGGATGGTAGAGGTCCTGAGTTTAGTGACCAGGAGTGTGAGCTGCATGCTTCACCCTTTATTTCATTTAAGTGACAAGGACTGAGGATTTGCTACAGGTTTACCAGAGAGGTTGTAGACTCTGTATCCTCAAAGATACTATGAAGGACACGAGAAGGGGCATAGTGTTCTAGGTGACCCTACTATAACAACATGGACTCCAGAGATCTTTTCAAATTTCAACCATTTTGTGATTCTATGATTTTATAATTCTGTGATACTCCATGACAAGTTTCAAGAGTTTCACGCAGTACTCACTCACATATGGGCATTAGTAAAGAAGAAGAAAAAACACTGAACCAAATCTGTTTCTTGAATGAAGACAGATTTTTTTCTTAGTTTGCCAAAAAATCTTTTTGTAAGGTTTATTGCAAAAGAGAGAAACCTAAAACAAAACTCAACTTTTCATAGAACATCTTTTTTATACAGACAAGTTTGATGTAAACCAAGTATCAACATTTTAAAAATAACACACATTTTTTTTCAAACTGCTGTCACATCAGAACTGATTTATGTATAGTGTAAGAAAGAGCTGAGGCAGATATGAACTGTACTGCTCAGAACTGTTTGTCCTCAGTAAGTATTATTCAGTTCTCCAAGCACTGCTGGTTGCTCATCACAGAATGAAAGTTGTGCTGATGTGAAAGTAGTTCTGATGATGCCTCACATATACATTCATGCAGTTCCCTTTCATTTTGCAACTGATTGGCTGAAGTCGCTTTATACAGTTTGTCTTAAAACTGTTAAGTTGATTGATCAAATTCCAGTAATGGATTTCATCACACTTCCAGATGTTAACTCCTTTCAACCTCCTACAAAGTCTTTTCTTATATATTTTACTATTAGTCATTTTGAATTTCTTCTTTGATGTGTTTCAAGAATACTTTCCCTGAGAAACTAATAGATTAAGAAAAATAGAATCGGGCTTCTCCTAGTTGTGATGTTTTCTTTTTCTTTTTTTTTTTTTTTTTTTTTTTTTTTTTTTTTTTTTTTCCCACTCCATCCATATTTTTCAGAAAGAAAATGTAAAATGTTTGAATATCTGTTTTCTAACAAATGAATTCAGCCCTTTCAAAACACTAAAAACACCACAAGGAATTTAGGGGCAAACATGTATCTGTGCATTCTGTTTGTAATAACATTTATTTTCAGTTAATAAATAATTGATCTTAAAATTCTTTGAAATGTTATCAGTACTGTGGAAATCCCTTCAACTATAAATATGTAGAAATATATATTTAAAAATAATAATAATAATAATTGAGATTCATAAGTACGCTTCCACTGGTTCAACTGGGAGAAAAACAGACTGAAGAACACAAGGTACAGCTAAGCTTCTGTCATTTTTCCATATTGATAGAAAAACGCATAATGTTAATAGCTGAAATGCAAGTTAGACATACATACATACATCTGATATCAAGTGAACTTGAAAGATTTTTTTCCTCTTTTTATCCTTTTTTATTCTCATTATGACTAAGTCTCAAAAGAAAGAAAAATAAAGGTTTATTTCAGAGACACTGAAGGTTACTAGAAAGAATCTGAAGTGCTATGAAGGTAGAATCATTCTGTTGCCTAAACATGAGTTAATACTCATGTATTTATCAACCCATGAGCTTTTATACGAAACCTCTCTCTCTCTCTATATATATATATTTGGCACAGGAGGATGTGAGTTTTTGGAGCCCCATGGAGGTCGGCAAGAGTTCAAAAATGAAAGACAAGACATCTGAAATAGTACTGAATATCCTTTTTTTTTTTTTTTTTTAGCATCTTCTTCACAATCCAAAGTTCCAACTTCGCGCTGCTAACAGGAGGGCATTGTATAACTAACCTAATTTCTGTCTCAAAATTAATTTTATTTGCAGATGTGTCACGATGTGTTGTACAAGCACGTGTGCAAATGCACATTTTTGCATGTTTTACAGTTTTGCTTCACACCAATGAGATTTTCACAGGCACATCACTAAACGTCTAGTATTTATCTGAATGCTATAACTAGAATAAAAATGAATACATTAACTTTAAATATAAACTTTACATGCTATATATTTAAGTGAAAAGTCAGTATTTTTATTGTATTTGTCATTTACCAGACATTTGCCTAAGCGCACAGTAGCATGCTGGGGCTGTTTAGAATTTTTGTACTGCTAATTTATAGGTCATTAAACCATAGAATCATAGAAACACAGAATATCTTGGGTTAGAAGGGACCTTAAAGATCATTGAGATCCAATCCCCCTTTTGAGAGTAGAGTTGCCAGCCACCAGCTCGGGCACTAGATCAGGTTGCCCAGGGCACTCTCCAGCCTAACCTGGAATACCTGAAATTCCAGCAAACATAGGAGTGTGCAGGTATATAAATCATTCAAATTTGTTCTAGAGGTAAGAATTTATCTATAATTATTCTGTCTAAAAAAGTGTATGAAAACAAAACAAAATTCTATATGCCTCAGTGTATGTATATGCATGTGTCCAGAATCTAATGTAGGCAAGAGCCATTGGAAACAAGCTTCATAAAATTGTTCACGGAGAGAAAGAAGAAGAAGAAGGAAAAAAAAAAAAAAAAAAAAAAAGCTTTATTTATTTTACATTAGGTTGTGCTCATATCAGCTAAAGTGGATGGAAGAAGAAATCTACAGCTACAATAAATGAAACATATGTGTGTATTTACCTCTAAGAAATATTTGCTAAAAAACATTAAGCAAAAGTCAAGGATAATTAACATATATCTAAATAAATGCCATTGTCATACTGAAAGCAATATACCAGTGACAGGTCTGGTATAGAGTATACAGAAAGTAATTACATGCATCGCTTTCCACTTATTTGCATTTTTTGGATAAGCGATGAATGTCCCTCCAGCTGTTTCAGAATATTGTAGTTACTGAGAGTAATACTGTGTATATCCAATCTAAGTTAATTAAACACAGCAAAATATTATGTTTATTGAAATTGACTTCCTGGAAAAGGTGTAGTCATATTGATTGAATGCAAAGGTTTGTCTAGGTTAGTATCCACAAGTAATCAATGGGGAAAATCTAGACAAAAATGTGAGAACAATACCATAATTTTATTTGTCTAGAAATTCTCATAAAACTACATAAAGATTTTGGAGTTAAAAGTTTTGTCTTGGTTGATCTCAATATATAGGGAAGGGAAAAGCTTTGCAAGGGAAAGGAAAAAGTCACATAGGAATTAAATCAAACAATACAATCCCTTCCAAGAGTGGCAGAATCTAAACGTTATACAAGTACACAGAGAACTGCTTTTTGTCTTGCAACAGTCTTTGGAAGAATACTTAGTTTAATTAGAATGGTCATATACCTAAAACTTGTACAGTAATCTAGGCTGATAAAAGAATCAGTGCTTCTGATGCATCTTGCTGTACACATTTGATGCTGCATTATTCAGAAGCAATAACAAAAGCTCATTTGTTATCCCTGTCCATCCTCTCTTAGGAAGCAGGCACAACCAACTACAGTAGAGTGGCATAACTGGATATATCTTTTCTTGTATTATTCAGGATAGAATTTCTGTATATGCATGTTTCTTTTGTTCGTTTGATTGTTTTCCATACAACAGCTTTTTTTTTTTTTGACAGCTTACAGAAATTAATATTATTGATTCCCAAACATTCTCTGCACTTACCATCCATGAAGCTCGGACTGATCATCTGTCTTGCATTCCCTTTATTGATTTCAATTTCTGAGCCAAGACATGCAAGTGTACTTAAAAATGCACTGATCCTATAGCTCTGCAAGCAATAAGCTCATGACAAAGGAATTGACTTGATTACTGTCGAAGAAAGAGAGAAAATAAAAAGAAATATTGGGAAATATACTGTCTTTAAAAAAATGTGCTCACATATTGTAATTTCTGTCAAATAAAAATAGGTATATATGTAGATTAAGTCTGGAAAGTATGTAGCCAAGTTTATATTCAGATGTGAAAAAGTGTGAAAAAATACAGAATGTTCTCTTCCTGCAAAGCCAAAGATTAGACAACAGACTGAATTATGGTAAGAGAGACTGAGAAAACTGGCTTATGTTCATGTGTGGAAATTAACTTAATTGTGTAGCCATTTATCATTTTCTTTATTTCTCCTTCTTGCTAAATTTTTCCTCTCTCTTTGTCTGTCATTCTGCAGAAAATGAGGATTTTTTTCTTAAGAACACTTTAAACTTTTAAATAATAAATAAATATTGTATGCAATTACTGAGCTCCAACATTAGTACCATGTAATGCAAAGTTGTATGCGTTTTGGGGAAATGGTAAAATCCAGACTACATTGTCCAGATTTAAAAGAATCGATTTACATCTGTAGTATGAGTATTTATGTGTTTTTTCAGTCAGCCATAATTTAATTATACCACTTTCATATGTAGTCCATGTATTTCTGCTTTCAAACAGATCATTGCAACAAAAATATACATTATTAGGAAAGGGAGAAAAATAGTAAAGGAAAATTCTTTGACAGGATGAATGAGCTAAGAATTCTTTGCTGAATATTGGTATCTTGTGAATCAAGAACATTTTCTCCTGATGTTTGAATTTATTCAGGGTAATCTTTCATTCTTCTCAGTCTCAGTCATAACCAGTCTCAGTCATAACACTTGTCAAGTAAACTTCCATGCATATATTACAGTGCCTATCGTGAACTTATTTTTAGATGCAAACAATAGAAGATTGTCAGAAACCTGAAACCTACTTGAAACAAGGCATGTGTGACATCCTTTAAATAATGCCATTTAACACTTGACAAAATCAATGACTGGCTAGCTGCTAATGTTTATGTTAGAAAAATAATGGATAGGAATATGAGAAATATGAGTTGAGACAAAAAGGAATAAACTGATTGTCTTGCCAAAAAATATTTCTAATGTCTTCTTTTTAAATGGAACAGCACTATGGCACATACAAGTTCCTGTAATGGATCATACACTGAATTTTATTAAGCTAACTTCAATATTTCCACTGGAAATCTCATCAGCTTACAATCGAACTTTCTTATGTAGGAAGCACAGAATATTATGGAACCTGAAATTTCACATCCACATTCCTGAGGCCGTAAGTTACCTCACAAATATGCTCTCACGTTATTTAAACATAATGTCTTAACAGACCTGTAAAGAGTAATGACATCAAGATATCCAAGTACAAAAACTATACAGTGCAAAAAGGCTGTTCTTTTTATGCACTGTGTTAAAACACTTTGAGATATATCTTACTTCTGTAGTTGCTCTTTCTAACATACTGAAACTTTCAGTTTTAGGGGTGATCAAGTTTTTAATCTTAATAATATTTTAAATAAATAATGTTATAAAATTCTGAATAGATGTAACTAAGAAAAAAAAAATGAAGTAATTACATGAGCATATAAAGCTCTGCTACCATCCTCTTTTTATTTCTATTCTACCTAGAGTGATCCTTGCTCACCTCAATGTATCCCTAAGTGAATCTCTTTTCTTTTAAAGGCTTTCCTAAAATGATCTCTGTGAAGTGCACCATTGTTAATTTAGGTAAAAAAATGACATTTTCATTTTGCATTCCCATTTAACTCCTTTGTTTTGTATTGATTTCCAATTAAGAGATTGAGACTTCTGGGAATAAATGTAAAAAATGAATGATGATATAGTCTATGACCAATAGTCATCACATTAGAAGAAATAAAAGACCATCAGAAAACCAGACATTGAATAAAATTGGGGGGGAAAAAAAAAAAGAAGAAAGAAAAGTGATCTTCCTCTATACTCTTCCTTTTTCCTTAGCTGTATTCATTTCAGTCCAGCGTTATATTTCATTTGACTATTTTAATCATGCCAAATCTACACAAGAAGCACCCCGCAGTGAACCCAGCACTAGTGAGGCCGCACCTCGAGTACTGTGTTCAGTTTTGGGCCCCTCACTACAAGAAAGACATTGAGGCCCTGGAACGAGTCCAGAGAAGGGCAACAAAACTGGTGAGGGGTCTGGAGCACAAGTCCTATGAGGAGCTGCTGAGGGAGCTGGCATTGTTTAGTCTGGAGAAGAGGAGGCACAGGGGAGACCTCATCGCACTCTACAACTTCCTGAAGGGAGGTTGTGATGAAAAAGGATCTGGCCTCTTCTCCCAGGCAAATAGTAGGACCCGAGGAAATGGCCAGAAGTTGTACCAGAGGATGTTTAGGTTGGACATTAGGAGAAACTTTTTCTCTCAGAGAGTGGTCAGGCACTGGAATGGCCTGCCCAGGGAGGTGGTGGAGTCGCCGTCCCTGGCAGTGTTCAAGAGGCGCCTGGATGAGGAGCTACGAGATATGGTTTAGTAGCTTGTGCTACTAATAGGAATGGGGAGGCAGTTGGATTAGATGATCTTGCAGGTCGTTTCCAACCTTGTGATTCTATGATTCTATGATCTGTCAGAAAGGTAAAATTTTTGAAACAGGATAAATTTATTAAATGTTATTAGTACTTAGGCAGTTAAAGGTTGAGAGGACTCTGGTTAAGCATGAGGCTATAGATGTTTTAGAAGGATTAATAAATGGCAACAAACTATTATGATAAACCCATTTATATTTGTCGAAAATTATAAAATTCTTTCAATAAAATTTCATTCGACTGCTATCTCCTTATGCAAATGGATTAAAAAATATTTGTATACCACTGAACAATTGTTTTGTAAATGAACATTTTCATAAATATTATTTTATAATAAATGCTTTAGTTGAAGTCATCACTTCTTGTTGTAGTTGGCCAAAGAATGACAATTTAGTTTCATGTCAATATTCTGTGTTTCAAATCTGATTTATATTTCATATTTAGCTTTTGTTTGTAAAAGAGAATTACTTTGAGAATTACATTTGAGAAATTTCAGGTAAGTTTTCTAAATCTTTTTTTACATTGAAGCCCTGTCTTAGCGTTAAACCCTTAACAAACTATTTGGAAAGAAAGTAATGCATTAACTGTCATGGTTTTGTGATTTTTGGTTTTTGGTATTCCACATCATAACATCATGTGGAGCACTGGGAGTTTAACTGTTAATGCTCAAGTTCTCGGTACCTGCCCAGAAGAGAACTACGTTCCCCAGGGGACTTTGCAGTCACAGAGAGTCTCCAGATATAACTCCTGGCAAGGTCACTTGATGTGCTCTTCTTCACCTGCTTTTCGTCGGTTCTCCTCTGGTCTCCCTGCTGCTCAACTGGACTGTGCATCTCACCTCAGCGTTGTGGTGAAGCCTATCCACCTTTCGGACATTCTCTCTCTCATTATATTTGATTTATTAGCTTCAATTTTAATTATATTGTATTACAGTGTGTTATTTTGCATTCTGATACTATATTTAGTAAATTAGTTTGTTTCTCCTCAGATCGTTGCTGCTGTTTTTAATTATTTTGGGGTCCCCTGTTCCCTTTTTCTGGAGGCGTGGATTTTGCGAAATCCCTCCACCTCGCTAGTCACAGAACCGGGCTGAACCAGCCTGTAAACCATTGACAACTAACTCAAGCAAAAAGCAAGATTCTGCAATTTTGTTTAATGAGGAAGAACATTTCAAGAAAAATAAAAATCTTAAAAAATATTCTGAGCAGTTACAACTCTTTTTTAGTTAGAGTTTATTTATGAAGCGGAAAAAAAAAAGACAAAATATTATCAGAATCCATAAATTATTTTTCTCTTATTTTTCCTAATGTGTAAGCAGTTCAAAAATATTTACTTTGTGTGAAAGATCAACTGGATGAATATATCATTCTGTGTAACATCTTTTGGGATGCTATGAATGCAACTTGCCACAGTTATTCATTGTTGTTGTTTTTTTTTTTTTTTTTGGTTTTTGTTTTTGTTTTTTTTTTCCCATCTAAAAGGAAAAAAAATAGTACATTAGGGCTTATTAATAATAATTAACAATATTAGTTCACCTTGTCTAGTAGCAGTAAGCAGAGGCATCTGTGAATCAGTGTAAGAAAAAGAAAAAGGATATCAGAAAAAAGTTTATACTGAAATTCAGTTTCATATTAGTTGAAGTAGATGTAGTATCATTTTTTTTGTTTGTATCGTAATACTGCATTCTTTTTACTGAAAAAAAGACTAATGTCTTTTATAAGATTATTTAGACATAAGATTAATATTTCACATTATATCATTTTATTTTGTATGATTAGTCCAACCAAACTTCTTTATTTGTTTTTTAAATAATAGTGCTACTGGCTCAAAGATTTCATACATCACATCCTTATCTCTAAACTGGAAAATAATGGATTTGAAACTATTCAATGAAAAAATAATCAGTAATATGATTACAACCAAAGAGTTGTCATCAACAGCTATATGTCCAAGTGGAAGCCTGTCACTAGTGGTGTTCCCCATGTAACAGTCTTGGGATCAGTGCTCTTCATCATGTTTATCAATGACATATATCAAGTGTACCCTCAGCAGTTTTGCTTATGACACTAAGCTGAGTGATGTAGTTGATATGACAAAAGGAAAGCATGCCATCCAGACGGGCCTGAACAGTCTTGAGTAGTGCACATAATGAGATTCAACAAGACCAAATGCAAGGTTTTGCATGTAGATTGAGGCAGTACCAGGTAAGTGTACGGACAGGGAGAAGAACTCACTGAGAACAGCCCTGCAGAGAAATGCTTGGGAGTTCTGGTGGACAAAAACCTTGACGTAGTACAGCAATGTGCATTTGCTGGAAGTCCAACAGTATCCTGAGCTGCATCCAAAGAGATGTGGCCAGCAGGACAAGGGAGGTGATTATCCCACTCTATTCTGCCCTCCTGAGGCCCCATTTGGAGTACTGAGTCCAGGTCTGGGACTCCCAACACAAGAAAAATGTGGAGCAATTGGAGTGGTTCTAGAGGAATGCCACAAGAACAATCAGAGAGCTGGAGCACCTTTCTTGTGAAGAAAGGTTGAGAGAGATGGACTTGTTCAGCTTGAGAAGGCTACAAAAAAGACCTCATTGTGACCTTTCCAGTACTTGAAGGGAGCTTACAAACAGGAGGGAGACTGATTTTCACGTGATCTGATAGTGATAGGAAAAGAAGGAATGACTTTAAACTAACAGAGGGAAGACTCAGTTTAGATACTAGTAGGAAATTCTTTACTCATAAGGTGGTGAGGCACTGGAACAGGTAGCTCAGAGAAGTTCCCCATCTCTCAAGGTATTCAAGGCCAGGTTGGATGGGGCCCTGGACAGCCTCATCTAGTAGTTAGAAATCCTACTCACATGAGTGATGGGAACTAGATGATTATTAAATTTCCTTCCAACCAAAGCCATTCTAAGATGATTCTGTGATTTTCATTTTACTCATCAAGGCTAAGAAAACTTTCAACAGAGAAGATCAAATGCTTTAGAAATGAAGGTATTATTTTCCACATTAAACATCTGTAATTATTTTAATGGCCACCTGGAGCAAGCTAGTTTTACCAGTGAATATAAAATGTTTCTTTATCTATCTAACCTAAAACAATACTGACTTTTTGTTGCCTAAATTTAAATGAGATTTAATTCAACGTTTATGCTTAAAATGGTTTTGTAACTCATTATTAATGGAAACTAAGATTTAGAAATCAGATTTAGCACACGGCATGTAATTTCATACACAGAAAGAAAAAAGGAGAACTCCTTTATTAGCTAATAAAGCTTGGTTTTCACATGACTTCAAAGCTATTTTTTTTTTTTTTAAATTCTCTCTTAAATCTTCCAAGTGTCTAAATAGAATTCAGAATTACATCAGCAACAGTAGGTCTGTTCTCCAAACGCTGAATAGTTTAAGTAAGCATCAATTTGAATATTTCCAGATTAAAATCTTGCCTTTTGTGAACACATTTGACAAATACAGAGAGCCTTTTGGCTTATTATTTTCTATCACATCTGTTTGCATGGCATCATGCCCATTCACTAGCTCATCAAACT